GTATAGTGGTTAAGTGAGCAGACTCTAATATGGGAGAACCGGGTCTGATTCCCCACTCCTCCACTTGCAGCTGCTGGATGACCTTGGGCAAGCCATAGTTCTGGCACAGCTGTCCTTGAAAGGGCAGTTCTTGAAAGAGCTCTCTCAGCCTCACCCACCTCACAGGCAATGTTCCCCCTAAGCTGTGGAGTCTTGCAAGCAAAAATTCTACTCTGTGAGCTACTGGCATTAAAGTTGTGAGCGAGTGATTTGGCTGCTGCATAAATTAGTTTGCTCTGGAGCCATCCTTCCTGAGCTAAGACAAAAATGTGTGAGCTGGAGGCTAAAAAACTGTGAGCTAGCTCACACTAACTCATCTTAGAGGGAACACTGCTCACAGGGTGTCTGTGGTGGGGAGGGGAAGGGAAAGGAGTTGTAAGCTGCTCTGAGACGCCTTTGGGTAGTGAAGGGCGGGGTATAAAGCCAATCTCCTCCTCTTCTTTCTTCTTCTTTTTCTTCTTTCTTCTTCTTCCTTCTTCTTCCTTCTTCTTTTTCTTTCTTCTTCTTTCTTCTTTTTCTTCTTTTTCTTCTTTTTCTTCTTCTGCTTCTTCTTCTTCTTCTTCTTCTGCTGCTGCTGCTGCTGCCATGGACTCCACTTTCCAAAGCGGCCATTCTCTCCAGGTGAACTGATCTCTGTTGAATTGACTTTGAATTCAGTCCATTTAAGAACTGACTCAACTTTCAATAAAATTTGCTGCAGATTATCCAGCAGCATATATTAAACTTTAATAGAGGCATAAATTCCCAAACATTTAAAACTGGCTGTTTGCCATTTAGATCCTGTGAGCAAAGTAATCTCTTTTTGTTTCCTCTTTGTTGAAACTCATCAGGACTGATTTTTAAAAAAAGATTAAATAAGTTTTAATCTCTTGTTATTCTCCAGTGCATCATTCATAGATGCTATTTTTAAAAAAGTAGAAGTTAAATTGGGTTTTTCTGCCACTCCCCACCCCCTTTTTGGGCATAATGCATTGTCAAAAAGCACATGGATTACTTCAATTTAAAGTTCTCAGTCTACACTTTTAGTAGCCATCAGCACAGATAAACATAAAATACACAAAGATTAGGTCAAAAGAGAAAGAAGCATAGCTGAATTAAAACAGAAGTAAACGTAGATCTGGAGCTCTACTAGGATGACATGAACATAGGAACTGCCTTGCTGAATTTTCAACCATGGCCGGGCCAGGCCAGTGCCTCGAAAAGTCCACAAGCATATCATGAAGGCAGTAAACTTCTCATTTGTCCCCAACATTTGGTAGTCAAAGGTGGTTTCTGATCGTATACCCTGAACCTGCTGGTTGGTAAATTACTTTATCATACATATCATTTGAATGCAGTGAAATTACTGGGAGGGGATACAGGAAAGACTAGGAAACAAATGTTAGTCATACATCCAGGGCTCTTTTTGTAGCAGGAACTCCTTAGCATATTAGGCGACACACCCCTAATATACAAAGGAGTTCCTGCGACAACAAAAGCCCTGAATTCTGTGCTTTTCTTCAGAAGATAATGACAGTTCTGTTATCTGTATACACTGCAAAGACATCAGAGTTAAGGTCATGTTATTACCACCTTAGTTTGCACTAGCTATTCTTGTTTGTTCCTTCTTTGTTTTATAGAGAACTGTGATCTCAGATTTTAATTCTTCTGTAAACTTCTCAAACAACTGTCAGAAATCAATACTGGTACATTTTGAAATACATAAATTAATCCTGAGAGAATCACCATTTTTAGGGATATAATTTTTCCCCAAAGGGGAAAATGTAAATAAGTCAAGAGCTATAGTTTCTTTTTAAAGTATCATCTACTACAGAAACACTGTTAAGTTCATGAAGAACTTGGTTATTTTTAGGTACTACTATTCTGAAATATCTATTATTTCCCTCATATTTCACTTGCTGAAATAAGCAGTCAAGAGGTAAATCATGGGAATTTATACTATATAGAAACATTTCAGATTTTACTCTGTTCAGTTTGTGACCTGCAATATTCCATATGAACATCCATAAGCACTTTGCTAGAGCTGACTATAGCAGCTAAAAAGATCACCACATCACCTGCATAAAGGCTTGAGTTTAACTGAACAGATTCCCAGTACCTTTCATTTCCTCCGACAGTCTCTTCCTAAAAGCTAGAGGTTCTAAAAAAATTACAAGTAGAAGAACAGAAAGGGGCATCCTTGCTGAGTACCCCTTTACAGCTCAAAGGTTTTTTTAAAAAGTGTGTCCATTAACACATAAGTGAACTGGTGCAGACTGTTTCAATTCAGCCTGAAAGGAATCAACAAATCCGAATGCCTTCAAGCAAGAG